GTGTGTGTGTGTGTGTGTGTGTGTTTGTGTGTGTGTGTGTGTGTGTGTGTGTGTGTACTGTAAATGTTTTAGGAGTTCAGTTTTATCCGTTTGTGATTATTGGTACACTCAAAAAATGTTTAGGCCTAAATTTAGGATTTATGTATTTGAATTGTATAAATTCCCATGCATTAGAAATAAACAAACTAATAAACTTAATGTGATGTATATTTTTCAGTCAAAGATAAATGAAACGGGTCAAATTTCTGTCATTAACTGAATATGTTTTAAATGCACAATAACCAGGTGTATATATTTAGCATCAATAAATCCAGTTGCTTTCATTTGCATGTATTTACATTTTTTGAATATTGTTAGTTCCACAGCTAGTCATATTTTAACCATGTTTGTACTTTTGAACTAAATAAATTTTATTCATAAAATATAAATAATATATATATTTTTTTAAATAAATTTGTTTTTCACACTGATCAGATTGATGCTGATTCTAAGCTGTTTGAATAAATGCATACTGTAAATATGGTTAAAATTATTATTATTATTATTATTAGTGTACCTTTTAGTATTTATTTATTTATTTTAGAGTACAGAAATCTGACCTGTGTTATTCATATATGACTGACAATATGAATATTATGTAATTTTTTTTATTTATTTAACATTTTATAAATCCATTTATATTGATACATATTCTGTAAATAAATACATAAACCTTAAATTTAATTGAAGGTTTTTTTTTTTTGCAGCAAATTTTCAATTTTGGGTGAACTATTCCATTAAAACTCATGCTAAAACCTTTAATAAAATCACAAGTGGGTTTTACGGAAGTATTTTATGTCATAGAATAAACATGTAAATATCTTTATTTCAGGTACTGAACCAAAAACCCAGTGACTTCAGGACGATGGAACTGGAAGTGCTACAATGCAACTTGTTTCTTGGTTTTGGCCTACAAATACACATAATCTATTACAGACAGACTATTTCCTGCAAAAAAAGAACCTTTAATTCACATGTCATTTCACATGACTTTCTAAGACATACTGCAATACTTTACTATCATTGCATTTGTCTTATGATGGGAAATGAAAGACGACTAAATGGCAATGTGACATTTATCTACATACTGTATAATAATGACAAAACATCTACAACCACAACTCTGGTGCATTTCCCCCCAGCTGCCTTTCCCACTGTATTACTGTATATGACTAGAAAAACCCAGTTATGAAGTTGGTTTCCTAAGAAAAACAGCTCCTGTAGTAGTTTTTCCGGTGAAGTGAAATCACCCAGCTCTCAGATGAAGTCTTAGTGTTAGAGTAAGACATCATATGATTAATTCACAGCAGAGAAACCACAAACACTACAGCTGTGGGAATTTCCCATCCACGTGTGAGAATACAGCACAGCAGGGCCGGACCAAAACAAACGCTCTGATTGGCCGCAAGTCACATGATTGACAGTCTTAAAGGCACAGGCGCAGAATCTTCCTGAATGATACAACACAGTATGCCAGGAATGCAGATATTCTCAGTAAATGTGTAGTGCTCCATGCAACCATGTGTGCAGTTCATCTACAATTTCTTTCTAAGATCTACTGAACTTATAGTAAAACTAAGCCTTACACTTTGTACACTAGTTTATGAACTGAAGATATAAAAGCTTCTGTCAGTAAAGTAGTTAACTGGGCCATATGTGAAAAGCGCATGACAATAGAGCTGCACACAAAAGCACAGCAGGACGGCGATTGTGAACTCAGGCTTACAATGACATCAATTAAGTGTGTATTTTAAAGCCATTTGTATAAAATAACACCTTCGTGTCAGGTGTTAAGCAATGCTCCAACTCATAAGCAAATTATCTGCGCTATTTTCCCCAAAAAAACAGAACTGCTTGCATTTCTATATCCATTTATGCCTGTATATGTCTAAAGAAGAGAATATTATCAGTGCTTAATAATGTCTTGTTGAATATTTCAGCATTAAATTCCGATTTCAGATGTTTTTGTATTATTGCACTGAAGTGTATAATTGATCTCACATAATAAATCCTTTACACTCAAATTATTTTTTTCCTGTACTTCTATTTGTTTTATTTTTATTTTTTTTGTTACGTATCAGTGCAATAAATACATGAATAAATGTCAGGGTGGAAAAAGAAAAAACTAAATAATAATAATAATAATAATAACAATAACAATAATAAAAGAAAAAAGAAAAAGAAAAAAAATCAGTTACCCTGATCACTGTCATTAATTATGATAAAGACTGGCAAACTGTATATTTATCCCTTGTTTATACTATTCTATTCTATCTTATTTTATTTATTTAGTTAAGTATCAGTGAAATAAATAAATAAGAAATATAAAGAAAATAATAATAAAATACAAATAAAAAAATCAGTTACCTTGATCACTGTGATGAATTATTTTTTATGATAAAAGACTGGCAAATTTATAGTATTTAATTAGATTTTGTATTTTGTTTTCATTTATTTATTTATTTATCAGGGACAATACAAGCTAATTATCTTGTCACTGTGATTTACTTGTGCGTTGTTCATCTAAAATTGCTTTTGTATTGATATTTTGGCAGTGTTGTGTGACTAAAAAAAATAATGTCATTATAACCCTCATTAAAATGCGCCTGTCTCTTTTAGTGTGTGCGTGTGTGTGTGCGTGCGTGCGTGCGTGTGTGTGTGTGTGTGTGCATGTGACGTCAGCACGGGGGGCGGGGCCTCGCCGCTGCAACTCGAGCGCGCGGTCGACGCAAACAGAATGAAGTGAGCCGAAGAAGGACGTGCAGCAATCGAGCGAGCAGCTGATTTCTAAACATTTCTATTGAGCTGGAAAAGAGACAGAGACAAAGGTAAGACGCGTTTACTCACCATGTAACGTTAGTTCGTCAAAAGCTGGTACGGTGAGGGAAATACCATGGTATTTGTTGTCTGAGTAAATGCAGTCTTGTGTGTTGTTGTTGTTGTTGTTGTTGTTGTAGTATAAACCGGCACTTTGGCTGTGTTTCAAATCCTAGTGAGCTGCCTACATAGACAGCAGCGTGTTTGTCTGCGCTCAGCTCTACAGTCAGCTCACTAAGTTTGGGAACTTCTTATTTTAACACCCAGCCTTTGCGGACCAAAACTGCTGCTGTCTAGGAAGACACACACTAGGATTTGATACACAGCCCTGTAGTTCTCATAGTACATTTAGAAGATTACATCTCAAATCTGATTTTTATTAATAATGACCGTCTGAAGTGCTGGAGACAAGTGTCATAAATACTTTATTACGCCTGTCAGTGTGTTTTATTGGTATTCCATGTCATTTCTAATGTCTAACTAACAGACTTTATGATAAGATAACAGTGTCATGATGGCATAATGGTGTTGTTGAACTACTGTAATGTCATTTAGATATGGAGATGATAACTTTAATAACACGAGAGCAATAAATGTGGAGGATGATGATGGAAAGATTAAGAACTGAGCGTCTAAACACTGGGTATAGTCACTCATTTCTCATTTCTATTGGACTTTAGTTTGTTTTCATGCATGTCATGCAGATATTGAAGCAGGACAGTTTATAGCCGAGCTGTGCTGGATAGTGTGTGTGTGTGTGTGTGTGTGTGTGTGTGTGTGTGTGTTTCCTCACTGGGTCAGTAGTGCTACAGAAGCTCTATGGGAGGCGTCAGTCACCGACTAACAAATCACTCCACCACCCCTGCCGCTGTTACACGACTTGAAGTCGAAGCTTACTGGCAAAGGTTGATTGCTCTTATGAAAATGTGTCTTAAATACACCATACAGTACAGTCAAGTACACTACACAGAAAACACGGTATGCAAAACAATAGTAGCATAAATCCACCTGGTTAATCCTGCATTGAAGACACTCAATAACTAAAAGTGCTATAAATAAACATGTTATTTTTAATGGTATTTTGTTATTATTTTCCATATATTAACATTTTTTGTGACTATGTATTAATTTATTTATTTATGCATGCATGCATTTTTTATGCATGCATTTATTGTTACTTTTATACATGCATTTATACATGCATTTATTTATGCTTTTATACATGCATTTATTTATGCATTTATACATGCATTTATTTATGCTTTTATGCATGCATTTATTTCTTTTTGCATGCATTGGATAATTGCTTTATTTATACCATGGTGTTTACATTATTGAAGAATAAATAGCATTTTTAAGTTATATATAGCATTTTATCGTGTCCAGAAGTGCATTGTTGATTTTATTAGTGGTTGTAGATGTGAAACTGTGGTTTGTTGTGGAGAGTCTCTTGTGGGTTAGTTTTGGTAACGTTGTTGAAGTTGTTTTGTTGAAGAGGTCAGATGGAGTTGAGTTAGCAGGGCCGCGGTGATTTTGGACTGCTGCGCTCATGAATGGATTGTCGTTTGTGTGTTTGTGTGTGTGTCTGCAGCGGTAGAGGGAGCTGTGTGTTGCTCTGCTTTTTGCTGCGTAATTTTTACACTCATTGAGGAAATCAGATGCGATAGTTTGCGGTGTGTGACACGTGTTTCTGAACTTTTATACACACATGCGACACAGGACGTTCACACGCACCTCTGAGCACCACACTTCCGGTGGATGAGATACTGTATGGCCTGAGAGAATGCTGACTGTTACTCATAAGTGACATGAACGGTTTATTGGAAACTTTTTTTGAAGTATGTGGTATTTTACCAGGAGAGTTCGACAAAGAAGACTGCACTCGGTTGCTAACTGACTGAAGCTCACAAAGAAAGACCTGGGTTGGCAGAAATAAATAGGAAACTATGTTTACATATACTATGTAGCCTCTTTTTAGGACCATTTCTTTTTCTCTCGTTTTTTTTTTTGCATTTATAATTTTTTAAATGACAATTGAAGCAGAGTTGTCAAAGTTGCCATACCATAATGCAAAATATTTAGTTTTAATTATTGTAATGTAATTTCAAATGTAAATTGGCAATAAATTAATATATATATATATATATATATATATA